TATACTTATATATATATTTGTTGAGACACAAAGATGAAGCCTTTAATACTTTTAAAAATTATAAGGTTGAAGTGGAGAATCCATTAGGAAAAGGAATTAAAGTTTTAAGAAGTGATCGAGGAGGAGAATATTTTCCTAAAGAATTTAATACTTTTTGTGAAGAAAATGGCATTATTCATGAATGTTCTGCTCCTCGCACTCCTCAACAAAATGGTTTGGCAGAAAGAAGAAATAGAACTTATTTAGAAATGGTTAATGCTTTGTTGTTACATGCTAAATTGCCATTTAATTTGTGGGGAGAAGCACTTCTTGCTACATGTCACATATTTAATAGGATTCCTACGAAGAAAAATCAAATCTCTCCATATGAATTATGGAAGGGAAGAAAGCCTAATATAGGATATTTTAAAGTGTGGGGGTGTCTTGCATATTGCAAAAATAATGATCCAAATCGGACCAAGTTGGGTCCTAGAGGGATCAAGTGTGCATTTGTAGGTTATGCCTCAAATAGCAAAGCTTATCGACTCCTTAATTTAGAGTCGAATGTCATTATTGAATCTAGAGATGTGAAATTTTTTTTGAATATCTTTTAAACTCTGGTAGAAGATTTCAATCTTCATCAACTGATGTAACATTAAGAATAAACATTTAAGAATAAACATCTCAAAGGATTGTTGAGCAATCTAGTTCACATGAGGTTAATGATCAACCTCGTGAACAAAGGAGAAACACTAGAGTTTGAAAGGCTAAAATACTTGGATAAGATGAGGTTCACTCTCAACGTATTTCTTTTAATCTTGTTGAAGGTAATAGAGATACAATTGTGAAAACAACTCCAATTATTCTTCAAGTGAAAGATGATCCTAAATCTTATAAAGAAGCTATGGCTTCGAGAGATGCGACTTTTTGAAAAGATGCTATTAAAGATGAAATGGATTCAATAATGTCTATCCACACTTAGAAAATTATTGATTTGCCTCCAACTTCTAAGGCTATCAGTTGTAAGTGGGTGTTTCGGAGAAAGTATCATATTGATGGGATTTTACATACTTGCAATGCTAGATTAGTCGCTAAGGGCTTTCGACAAAAAGAAGGAATTGATTATTTTGATACATACCGGTAGCAATAATTACTTCAATTAGAATTATATTTGCTTTAGCGTCTATTTATGACCTACATGTTCATCAAATGGATGTCAAAACGGCATTCTTAAATGATGATCTCGAGGAAGAAGTCTATATGGAACAACCTGAAGGGTTCGTTCTATCGAAAAATGAACATAAGGTTTGTAAGCTTGTCAAGTCTCTGTGTGGACTTAAACAAGCTCCTAAACAATGGCACGAGAAATTTGAAAAGGCAATTTTATCATTTGGCTTTAGATCTAATATAGCTGATAAGTGTGTTTAAAGTATGTAGTAATTATTTTGTGTTAGTTTGTTTATATATTGATGATATGTTAATTGTAAGCAATGATATGAATGGAATTATAGAAACAAAGAGGTTTCTATCTTCCTCATTCGAGATGAAGGATCTTGGACAAGTTGATACCATATTGGGTATCAAGATTAAAATAAATAGTGGGGGATACATATTGAGTAATCTCATTACATTGAAAAAGTGCTAAATAAATTTAGTCACTTAAACTTAAACATAAAAGAGGTTAATAGCCCATTTGATTCAAGCATCAAGTTAATCAAAAATGAAGGAAGAGTTATGGCTCAACTTGAGTATGCAAGCGTTATTGAAAGTTTGATGTATGCCACACAATGCACAAGATCAGACATAGCATTTGCAATTAATAAATTAAGCAGATTTACTAACAATCTGAGTATTGATAATTGGAAAGCCATTAGGTGAGTTCTTGGTTTTCGAAAACTAAAGATTTGTGTATTCAATACTCAAAGTTTCCTGCTATTTTAGAAGATATACTGCCGCAAGTTGGATATCAAGTTTAGGAGACAATAAATCTACAACGGGTTGGGTGTTTACCTTGGGAGGAGGTACAATTTCTTGGAAATCAAAGAAACAAACTTGTATAATGTCATAATCCAAAACTCACTATAGGTCGCGATGGCGCCCAACGTCGTTGTTAGGCAACCCAACGGTGAACTACCAACTTAATTATTTATTTTATTATTTTTAAAATAATAAATCTTATTAGATAGGGAAATCAATGCATTAAAAATCATAGATACGTACAATTTAAATGAAATATAAAGTAAAAATGCTTCAATGGTAAGAAAAACCATAAACAAATTCTAGAACATCCCAAAATCCGGTGTCACAAATGCATGGGCATTTACTAGGAAGTACAATAACAATACAACATCAGTCTGGAATACAAGATAGACAGGATAAAGTAAATAATTATGATGGAAACTCTGTGTACTGTGAATCATAGCATGAAATGCAGCTTACCATAAAGTCCCCTCAGTAGTTGCGCCTACGCCCCCAAATGACCACCAAATGAACCTGTCATATCCTGCACGTTTAGTGCATAAATACAGCATGAGTACGTAAATCAACTTGTACCCAATAAGTATCTAGCCCTAATCCCGAAGAGGTAGTGACGAGGGGTCGACATTGACGCTTACTAGTGGTCCAGTAAATCAAATATAATAAAGTAGACAAGTATGAAATATGGTAAATAAACAATGAGAATAGATATAGGCAAATAGTACGGTCTAGCTGAACAGTGAACACAAAGTCCTAAATTATCGGATACCTCCTCAAATGGAATACGGAATGGTCAATACCAAATCAACGGTCACATCTCAAGTCAGAAAACTTATGAGTACGCGGACTCCTTATCAAGTATTTCGCACGATTCTGCCGAGGCGAGCGGCTTGATCCCATACGACCTCAGAAACCAGCAATCATTCCCGACATGGAAATGGACATAACTCTCTCATACGACCTCAGAATTCGACGATTCTTTTGCTATGGTTCTGTAATTAGGATACAGATATAATAGTTTAATATAGGAACAAATCATAGGTCTTTTCTCAATATAGTACTCTTTATGCCCAAAGAAATGATGCCGAAACATCAAATAAGAGGACACAACCTAAACACATCTGAAACACACCCGAGGCCATCGGGACCCCACCCAATCACACAAACCAGTCCCAAAATGTTACACGAACATACTCGAGGCCTCAAATCACACCAAACAACATCAAAACCATGAATCACATATCAATTCAAGCCTAATGAACTAATAAACTTTTAAACTTCTAAAAATCATGCCGAACAATACCAAATCAACCCGAAATGACCTCAAATTTTGCATGAAAGTCCCAAATGACACAACAGACATATATTAACTCCCCGAACCATAATCCGGATACGATATCAATAAAGTTAACTCTCGGTTAAACCTATCAACCTTTTAAACCTTCAATCTTCTAACTTTTGCCAAAAGGCATCAAATCAACCTACAGACTTCCAAATCCAAATTCGGACATACACCTAAGTCCAAAATTATTATTCGGATCTGACGGAACCGTTAAAACTATGATCCGAGATCGTTTATCCAAAAGTCAAACCATTATCAACTCTTCCAACTTAAAGCTTCTGAATTGAGAATTATTCTTCCAAACCAACTCTGATCTTTCCGAAAATCTAATCCGACTACACGTGCAAGTTATAATACATGAAGTGAATCTACTCAAGGTCTCGAACCGCTGAACGACATACTAGAGCTCAAAATGACCGATCGGATCGTTACATATAGCACATTCAATCATGGAGTCGGAATTTGTTCCATTCGCATAAGCAGGAAAAGAAACTGAGTGGTTGAGGGATTTTCTTTTAGAAATTCCATTGATCTCAAAAAGTATGAGCTCAATTTCAATTCATTGTGATAGTCAAGCTACTCTATCTTGAGCATACAGGAATGTATATAATGGAAAGTCAAGACACATAAGTCTTCGACATAATTATGTGAGAAAATTAATTAAAAATAGAATTATCTCTCACACATTTGTAAAGTCAAAAAGTATTTGGCTGATCCATTTACTAAACCTCTTACAAGGGAGTCAGTGAAAACGACTTCCAGTTTGATTGGGTTAAAACTCCTTAATTAAGTATACCAATAATGGCAACCCTACCTAACACTATGAAATGAGTAGTTTTGGGTTCAAAGGGTAATAACAAGTTATTGATAAGTGGACGTTTCAGTACTTAAGTAAAAGATATACTAGTACTTTATGCATCTTGATTTGAATCATTATTTATATTTAAACAAGTGGGGGATTGTTAGAAAATTATTGTTTAAATATAATTAATAGTTTAAAAGTTCAAAAGTTTAAATGAAAAGGTGTGACTTTGCTTGAATGGATATGTCCGTTCCTTTTTATAACTGTTTTGTCTATATAAAAAAATTGATCTTCTCTTTCAAACTCAATTAAAATCAAATAACGTTACTTTACAGAGTCCTCCTTTTACAACCTTCAGCAAAATACTTTTCCTTCTCCAACTTCCTATTCTAAATATCATGTTCCATAGTTCTTGCTTTCAATAGAATTTTCCCACTGTTTGCTTACTGTTGAAATTCATAGGCTTGTCATATCCACTAAAGTTATTTGCCAATAGTCCCATAGCAATCTCGCAGAGGAGAGGGTGCGAATATTGCTTTTAGAAAAAGCGTTTCGTACGTGTTTCAAGCCTTCTAATCTATGGTCGTTATTCATATTTTAAAATAACAGTTTCATAAATAATTAAATGTTCGATCTGATCTAACGTTAAATGAAGTGTGTAAAAATATTGGGGACTATGATTCAAATCTTAATAAAGACAAAAATATTAGGTAATTTCCCCATAATATTTAAACCTAGTGTGTGGAGAGTGTATTTAATTTGTTGGAGGTAGTTGGTTGGGATTTTACAAACTTATTTTTAATTTTCTGATATTTTTTTTTTCTACACATGATATTTACTTTCACACATAAATATATAAGTTTAAAAAAAAGAAATTGTATGTATCACTATTCTCGAACCAAATGACACATGAGAAATTTAACAATTGTCCAATTAGTGGGTGGACAATTGCCTACCCATGACTAGCACGATACACACTGTTCTGATTGTATAGTTTAGTCGGCGGGAGCTAGGCGACTGACGGTGACTGCTCTCAGAGGCGCCGTCGAGCAAATTGAGCAGAGAATCAGAAGACCGGTAGGTATTTTAGCTCTTATTTTGATTCTTCCTCAGTTCTCCTCTGAAAACCCTAGTTTTTGCATTTCTCAACTCCGTAAATTTCTTCCAAACCAGCTTAATTGATTTCATTTTTATGTCTTTTTTATGGCTTTATTACTTGCATTTGTTATTGGTTAATGTATTTTACTAGACTACTAGCCATAATGAGAGAATACTTAGCTTTTGTAACTATAGTAGATAGTGATGGCAATATATGAAATTGTGCCTCAATTTGGCCGTGACACATGTTTGTCGAAGCTCCTAAAGCAAATGAGAACTTCTTTGGATTATGGTGGTGATTCAATTGTGAAAATAGTAGAATTGTGAATATTTATGCCCAGTTTTATGCTCTCTGATTTGTTAGGGGCTCAGTTTGTTTATTCAAGCTTATTTTATAGGTTTCCATTTTAATATTGTGTCTTGATACCTGGTACCTCCTAGCTAACAAGTGCTCAGGTGCCCGGCAGATTAGCCGACATGCACACGAGCTAAACTGGACACAAAAAGAAAAATTGTTTCTTGATTACAGAAGCTTGTCGCATTAATGTTTTTTTTTTATAACCGTTGAGTTTGGGCTATCATGCGTGCACCTCAACTAGTCACATTGATGTAATTTTCTGACATTTGAAGCTATAATTTAAATTCGGGGAAGCTCGTTAAGCTTTAATATCACATCCGTAGTCTTATGAGATTTTTGTGGTAAACTTGAATTTGGAGTTGTCTCTTAAAATCCACCCTTCATCAAGCTCCCGGTGAATTTGTTTTGAAGTATCTTTGTTTTCTACCCTTCCAACTGCGGATATAAATTAGGATATGTATAACGGGAGGGAATTCAAGCTTGTAAACTTTATGAGCTGGTTTGCTCCATTAAAATTAAGTGAATATCCCCAAGGAACACTTAAGTAGTTGAAGCATAGGAGTAACAACCTGGAGACCCCCGGTTCAAGTCCCAGCCACAACACTCTTGAACTTATTTGCTTCAGCTCGATGGGAGGTTTACCCTCCACCTATGCTTGTGGGCTTTTATTGGCTACCATGGTCCATGAAATAGTTAAGGTGCATGCAAGATGTCTCACATAGACGGACACCGTTGTCATTGAAAAAAAAAGAGGAAAGAACAAGTACATTCAGTAACAATTGGAGAGTAAATGCTTCTTATGTATCTTTCCCTTACTCCTTAAATGATAATAAGAAACGTGTAGGGAATTTTTCACTTTTCAAAATGTTTGGACCCTTCAGAGAGATGGGAATAACTCTTCACAGTTCTTGTTGATCGTTATGTTTGTTTTAACAGATACCAACAAAGTATGGCCACCAAACTGCCTTTTCCATGCTGTCGAACAACTTCTAAGCATTTGGTTGCCGATAATACTAGATCAAGACTTAATGGAACTGTTTGCCTTCGGAGACCTGCACATTCGCTAGGCAGACTCATGCATTTCCAGCTATCCTTCCTTAATATTGTCCAACCTTCTTCTTTCAGAAATTTCAAGTGAGTTTTTCACTTGGTCATGTGAAACTTTGATGTAGCTTCATAGTTGTGCCCCTTCCCTCCACCAGAAATGGATTGCATGCATAAGAAGGAAACATGTGTGATTACAACAGGTTCTTCCAGGTTTAATTTCCTGAAAAGAAAATTCTCTTTTTCAATAAGCAAAAATATTTACAGATTTGAGAGTTCTTTGTTACCTAGTTTGTCAATTTTAAAATACTGGTTATTGTGCTTTGTGGAGAAGCCAAGATATAAGGATTGAGGACTCATAGAGAATCTCTTTTATCATTTTCCAAAAGTACAAGCAACTCACTTTAACAGCCTGCAGATATAAATCCTAACTATACTAAGGAAAACAGAGAATGTTAACATCAATTCGTAAGGTGGAAGTCATTCCCAAAAAATCAATTGAAAAATGCTATTTATAGTAACTGATTCTTACAATGGCTGGTTATTTTTGATAAGGTACAATGGCTGGGTTAAATTAAATAACTTCTCCCAATATCCATTTGTCTTGGCTAAGTCCAAGTTTGCTTCCGTTACTAAGTCCAAGTTTGCTTGTCCTGTGTATTCCTACAAGTCACCCTAGTCCCAGTTGCAATGAGGTAGGGTACCTATTTGGGAATATATAAAACTCTCCTTTGAGTTTCCTTATATTGTTCAAATAGCTAAATACCTTAGAATATGCCTGCTGGGGCTCATAAGGAAATTATATGATATATGTTATCTTTGTTTAATGCTAGATCCTTGCTCATAGACTTATAAAAGTAACTTTTTTTGTGTATCTCAAAGTTTAATTGCAAAATAGGAGGCTGGCGTGGTCTATAAGAAGTGCTGCAGATGGCAATGGACTAAATTCTTCTCCTACAACCAGCAGCAGCGGTGGAACTCGACTTATTAGGGCCATAGAAGCTCTTCTTGTCAAATTAGATGCCAGAATTAAGGTGCTGAGGAAAAACCTACCGGTGAAGTTGCTATTTTTCTTAGTGGGTTTCTATTGTGCAACGGCATTTGCCACTGTAATAGGGCAGACAGGTGATTGGGATATTATTTCTGCTGGATTAGCTGTGGCTGTGGTGGAGGGCATTGGAGCACTCATGTATAGAGCAATTCCTTTATTAGATGAGGTAAGGAGCTTCATCACCATGTTCAATTATTGGAAGACTGGGTTGACTCTTGGTCTTTTCCTGGACTCTTTCAAATATTAGAGTGGAGATGAGGAGAGGGGGATGTGTACAGAAATCATAATGCCATTGAAATTTCATAGTTTGATCTATGGGGTTGTGTAGGCAAATTCATTTTGTCCAGGGGTATTTATACATCTATTTGCAGGATGTCTGTTGTATAGTGTCTCCAACGGTGTAGCATATATGTCACTTGTACATGGGAGCATCCCCAGTTAGATGCCACATCTATAAAATGTATAGGAAAATATGATTCGATTTTTCAGTTTTAAGCTAATCTGCTCCGTTAGCTCTTTGAGACTTTTACAAGCTGATTCATATCAACAGAATGCTCTGGATTGTTATTGAGCATGGGATTTTTGCTCAAGCATAAGTTACGAGTTATTAAGAATGGTAAGAAGTTGATAAGACAAGTATTTAATGTTGTACAAGTTTCATCTTATAAGCACTTTTGTGGGGCCAATTGGTTTTGCGGCTCATTACATTTTTTTTTTATTTAATGTTAAAATCTCCCAAAAGATGTTTTATTTTTACACGTAAGAGACGTGAATATAAAACACAAAAGATTTTTGTTCAAATTATAATGGACTATGTTGAACCATTTTTTCTACCTTTTGTGGTAATTTTTCGATTTCGGCGCATGTACAAAGGCTTTTAGAATGGCATGGAGTTGGATTGTTAACCTACGTTCCAGGTTTGGACGGAATGACTCTACTTGCAATGCTTTTTAAGGACATAAGCCCTGGTTGTAGCAGTTAATGATGATTCAACCTAATATTAGCTAATAAATTTCTTGATTTTGATTAAAATGACAGAATGGCTTGCTAATAAAGGGAAGCTAACGGGCTGACTGACAAGTTAGCAAGGAATAGATGCAGTTTGAACCTTGAGCTCAAAGCTTTACTCATTCCCCCGAGCTTTTATAATTTCTACTTTTGAAAACTTCTAGAATATTCGTATCTGGGGGTGGGGTAGTTGCTTTTGACAACATGTCAAGATAAAAGAAGTTCTTGCATTATAGATATTTATCCAAGAATTATGATGACACGTAAACAAAATCTTTTTAAATCAGCAATCAACCAATGGCTCCCATTAGAAATCGTCCTCGCCGTGCAATAAAGATTCACAAAGTTAGAAGATGTTTATTAAGGTATGGGTTGATAGTATACGCCAAAATGTTGTTCATGCAAAATATGTTCATCTGACCGCATAGCGCAGTGGATTAGCGCGTCTGACTTCGGATCAGAAGGTCGTGGGTTCGACTCCCACTGTGGTCGTTTTCTTTTCCTTCTATTTCTCTTTCATTTTTTTTTCCTTTTAGTAGGGTAGCCAATGGGCTGTTTGGGCTATATCTGGGCTGGTCAAGATTATTGGCTCATTAAATGGGTCATTGCTCAACCCTGCCCAAAATTCACTTCGGTTAAGATGGACGGGGTCAACATGAGCTAAACAATGAGTTGTAACCTAACCTGTCCAAATTGACCCAAATCTTTGCAATATTCTCAACTTTTAAACACGCGTATATAAAAATTATCTTATGTTTTGGAATAAATGTCAATCCATGCCTAATGATTTTTTTCCTCAATTTAGATTTATAACTTTATTTGATATTTCTTCATCTTATAATACTAACAAAGATCAGAATGTTAAAAAGTAGAACTCTATGAGTGAGCATTTCTATGGGTTAAAGTTGAGCATCATCATGAGTTCGTTTGGGCTGATGATTTTTGATGGGTTAACTTGGGCTAGCCCAAAACAGCCAATTTTCATATTAATTCCAGCCCAAACCCATTAAAATTTGGGCGAGTTGAACGAATCAAATAGGTTTGGGTTAATTTTGCCATCCCTACCTTCCAACAACCTCCATTCAGTCTTCCACTTAAAGATTGCTCCTTATGATTTATTTTTGTCTTAGGATTTTTTTCCCCGTTCTTCACAAACACAATAAAGTTCTAAATTTAGCCTCTACTCAGATCACAAACACTATAAAAGTTCTTTACATACACATAATAAGCACTTGTGAGTGCATAATAACAATATTCAAATGGTTCTATTTTCTTTATTATTTTAAGATGTTGTGTGGGTCCATTTATAGATTGAAATCGAAATTTCAGTTTACCATACACATCATTTAACTTAGAAGCTTTTGCATGAAGCAATGCTTTTGCCCATTCGGCCTTTGTTAGTATATATCTTCAAACTTAAGATAGAGTATAGAACGTCTTGATGCTTACCCCTTTAATTTTTTTGGTTTCCCACCCGATATTCGGTACCTGCATTGGAGCCCGACAAAATCCGAATTCGACACCGAAAAATTCCACATTGAGAGGTAAAGCGCTCCCTAATAAAGGCGACTCCATACCAGAGTTCGAACCCGAAACTCCTAATTAATGATAAAAAAGTACTTACCCTCTTTAATTATTATGGAAGGAAGGGTGCTATGCTAGCTTCAAACACAATCTTGAACATGTATGGTGATGGTGCCAAGGACGGATCGTACTGAACATATACTATTGCATCTACAAAAAATTGAGTTTTTTAAATCCGGTGGCGGTAATTTGACTAAACTAAATTTGTAGTGGACAAAATTACTTTGGAATAAAGCACTCCTTATCAATACAACTCTGAAACTTAGTTAAGGATGAACAACTTGAATATCAAATGGCTCGAAACTTGAAAAGGTAGGGTTAATATATGTTTGTTTAGATACATTTTCCAAAAAGTATTTTAAGAAAGTTTTTTTTTTCTTTTGGTAAAAATGAAAGAAGAAATTGTACTTATTAATCTCTTAAAACATAAGCTTGACAAGCAATATCTCATGCACCCATTGAATGAGATAAAAACCTCCTTAACCTCAAAATTATTGGGCAAAATGAAATAATCACAGTCGTTATATATTATTTCAAATAATTGAAAAAATTGCCAAAAGTATTGTTTACGCAGATTAGATTGGTTCCCCTAAAATCGACGATTTTTGTTCAGTATATACTTGGACTATATGTTGTCCTAATTACTCCCATGGAGTTGCCAATTTGATAGCCTCGACCCCCCTAGACACTGATGTGATAAAGAGCATGAATATACGCTCTTTTAGATGTGGAAGAAAAATTAAAAAATAGCTTTCAAGTAGGATATTTTTCAACTATTAATTGCCGCATAATCAATAAATAATTTAGTTGTTCCAACTATATTGCCCTTTGTTTCTTCTTAGTATAAACGCATATTTTATCTCAATCATTTCTTCTACTTAGACACAATGATTATTTGTTTTAATTGTGTATTTTTTTGGCCAATCTGCAAACTTAGTTAAAACTTTATTTAATTCAGCTTAATAAAAAAAAGTTTAGACAAAGTAATGGAGTTCAAACAATGTATTTTCAAGCTGTATAATTTTTTTTTTTACATGCAATAGTTATTTGTTTCAACTATGAATGTACTTTTTTAGGCAACTTCGAAACACATTTGATTTGAATTTTGTTGTTTTTAGCCAAAATAATATAGTTCCAAGTGCATATTTCTTTTTATTTCTTTTTTAGATGCGGTGATCATTTGTTCTGTAAATGCATTTCTTCTTTTTCTGACCAAGTATGTAAAAATAACTTGATTAAAATATTATTATCTTTAGTCAAATAAAAATAATTATTAAAATAATATTGTTTTCCAAATTGTTTTTTACAGATTTGGCCCGAAAAAGATGATCCAAATAATTGGTGGACTTAAAAAGGTAAATATATATATTTTTATTCTAAAAATTATCATGTGTACACAAAAATCTACACCACACTTCCATAAGTTGTTAGCATTTAGGAGGGTCGAGATTATCAAATTTTCAACTTTAGGGGGTAATTAAGCCAACATAAAGTTCAGGTACGTAAGTCACCAAGTTCAGAAATGCCCCGATCTATTGTTTAAAATGAAAACTTTTAGTTTAGCCCCCTTGATTTTATTTTAGCAAGAAAAGTATACACTTTTATGTTTTAAATTTAATATAAAAGCCTCTTGACATTTTCTGGTGATTGTCAACATTTTTTTTTTGGGACAACTTTTTGAAAAAGTTTTGTAAAGGTTTGGCTTCTGAAAACATCAAAATAATTCATTAGGGCGTGACCTAATGATTAATAAATTGGAAGGATAATCATAAGGTCTATTTTCAAATTACAATAAAAACAAAATACTAGGTGATTAATATCTTCCTAACTGTACAAAATTTTGATGAACATGATTAACCACTATACATGCTGAAGAAAAATAGTAAATATCCAATAAAATAATTAACAATACGGCAAATTAACATGGACACGACAATGTTATGGTGAATATTAATTAATTAACATTAGTACCTGCTTAACAAAAAAATTAACCTTGTAAAATTGGTCTCATATCCGGGCAATAGGCCAGCCAGTAAAAATTTAGTTAAAGCATATTATAAACGTTCCCTTTCTGTAACAAAAATGCAACCGCTCAACCATTATAGATTTTGAAGCTGCCTTTTCTGACTCTGAAAACAACCGTGTGTTTGGCTAAGCTTATAAGCTGGTCAAATTAGCTTATAAGCACTTTTCGGCTTATCTACGCGTTTGGTAAAGTTAAAAGTGCTTATAAGTCAAAAATAAGCCAAAAGCCGTAAGTTGGTCACCCCCGGCTTATAAATTTTTAGCTTATAAGCACTTTAAGTTTGACCAAAATTTTTACTATTTTATCCTTAAAATACTCTTTTTTAGAACAAAACTATTATATCGATACTCACTACTTCAAGTACTATTTCAACCTAACCCCCCTCTCTTCAAGTCTGCAATGTCCATTGACTATTTAAGATAAGCAAATTCTTTATTCCTTTGTATATTTATATCTATATGATTGTGTATTAATCTTTGAACTGTATGTAATAAATGAGGACATATCAAATTTTTGGTGTGTTGCTTTCTAAATATTGTGGTGATAAAGACAGTGTTTGTTTCTCTTCAAATATTTTATCCTATTTAGGTTTATTTTTTACTGAGAAACTTTTATCAATTTATTAATTATTGTAACTTATGATTATATGCTTATCATAAAATAAATAATATTTATCATAAAAATTATTTTATCTAAGCACAGTTGTATTTAAAATAAAATAACAAATAAAATATTTTATATTTGGATCGATTTGGAATCTAAAATTTTGAATAAATTACGCCCTTATAAGTATAAACACTTCTAAGGTTATTTAAGTTATTTTAACAGAAAAAGAGCTTATCAACACTTTTTTTTAATCAAATACAGTAACAGCTCA